ACTGAAAATAGCACGATCGGATGACCGTTTTGTAGTAATTTCAATGAAACAATGCCCGACAATTTTTACGGCGACGGATTCGCATCGTGCGTTGTATCCGTAACTGTAAAATGCACAGTGGATAAAGTGATTCTCTATTCAATGCTTTCCAATCAACGTTGCACCGTTGTTCAATAGACGTTTCTAAGTTATAGTAAACAATATTTGCAAGTTCGTTAACACGGTTTAGCCGTGTGCGCGACAAATTCGCGGCGTGACCCTTTGTTTTCGACGATGGCGACATTAACGTTCCAACGATCGCATGATCGTGTAACACGACCGACCGAATTAATCGATGTTATTTAAAACGGGAAACATCGTTCGAACGTATTTAAATCGGTTTAGCGTTACCTGATTTTTCGATTTATTCCGACGAGCACGAATTGGCATGGCTGCATTCTTCCATCAAATATCAAATGTTTGATCCGATATTTCAATTTCTACGGATCCCACCGAGAAATTGTACACAGATTCCCGTGTAAGTTTGTTCAAACGTTCTAAAATTCTTTCTATTCTATACAATTTTCTGGGAAAGCAACTGTAAACGAGATTTATTGTATACAATTTATGAATGCAAAGAAACGTTCAATTTCATTATGGAACGTTTGCACACCTTACGAGATAAAGAAATATCCTAACTTGAAATATGAAATATCTTCTCAATGATCCTGCCTTAACACTGTTATACACAGAATGATAACAATTGATTGACTTTCCCCGCTACGAATGGTTGACACGTTTGCTTGTCCCAGTTTCTAGAATCACCCTGTATATTCATGAACCGATCGCTGCATTTCCTACTGTCTAAGGCAGAGTGTGCTAGGTAAAGTACAGAGCACACGAGAATGGACCTGAAGGGTACCCATGAGTTAAGAGAAATACTTCTCGACTCTGCCTGTGAACCGCGTAATAAAAAGTCTGACCAATAACTCCGTGGCCGGCCATTCCCTCCAGGTTCGTCCTCGTGAGCTCCTAATCAACGGTGACCTTGCTGACCAATCTCCAACCGCGACTTTTCCTCTCATTTTCTAATTCTTTAGTCAAAATCGTAATTTGCACCACAAAGATCGCGAATCCAAATTAACAGGAAACAAACCGTCAAGCTAATCCTAAAGGATTCGTGATTCCTCGATCGTGATCCATAATTCGCGTGGTCCGTCGTTGGTATTGTCACGTGGGGGAAAATTTCAAAGGAACAAATCACTGTGGGAGCGTTCTGCGGTGGAGTACAGAGAGCGGGGGCGTTAAATATCCACGCGTGGAATCGATGCGTCGCGACGCGGCCTCGAACGTACACCGAATTGCGCGAACCGATTTGCAGTTCGGGGCACGCTCGAAACGCGGCGTTACCCGCGGCTGGGGGGCCGAAACGAGTTTAAAGTCCGTGCCCGGAAAGATTCAATTACGCCGCGGGAATCTCACGGGCGCCCACAGGGCGGAGGACTTTGTCCCGGAACGAGACCACGTACCCGTCGTTGCTTTATTTTTCGCCTTGTTTTCTCCCCCCGGTGCGCCGGCAACGAGGAAAGTGCGACACCTTGTTGCATCTCCCGCCCGAAACTTTCCCGTGTTTGCTCGCTCACCCAATTATCGAATGGGAGCTGTTTGCCTCCGTAATGGCGGGACGCGTTTCCGCCGGAGAATAATCAAACCGGTATCGCCGTGGAAGTGGATTCGCGCGAGGCGAGAAAAATTTTACCAAATAAGAGATAGAAGTATCTTTGAACATCCGATTTAATACAGAGATAATCCTACGTCCTTTGTGTAATCGTTAATTTTCATTTCTAATCGATTATATACCACACGTGGTTTAATTAGAGCGTTATAAAGTGTCTTTTTGTAGACCATCGAATTATTTTTTTTCTTTTTAATTATATGGTGAAGAATTCTTTTAAACAGGATCCTGTAGATTTTTTAAAATGGAACTTAGAGTATTGTTCTTAAATATGAGTAAAATTTTAAAAGCGGTCGGTTGACCAATCGTGGTAAGCTTATTATATATAAATCGGTGTATTTTTCTTAATTGTTAACGAAGAACTATCCTTTACTTAACCAAGACTTAGATGAAATAAATGATAAGTTAGTTGCTTTAGAATTGTACATGACTCTCGAGCCACACTTCATGAAATGAAATCTTTCGAAATGAAGAAACCTGGTAAATTAAAAGCAACGACATTATAAAAATGCATTATGCCTTTGTGTGTAGAGTGTCAATGAAATATCTTGCCGTTGAATGTAATGATCGGTGAAATTGTTGCTTAGAAACTGCACAGCGCATGACAACTAGATCTCAGATCTCTTCAAATGATTATCGATGTTAAACTTGACAAATATCGCAGAGAAATAATTCAACCTCTCCGTGCAAAAGCGACCTTAACGAGGCCTGTGTTGGCAACCCTTAAATCGGATCTAATCATTTGTTGGAAGATCTCTTACATGCATGCCGCACATATCCTTTCTTTCATGTTTGTTGATTGTCCGCATGAAAAATGTCAGCAATCAATTCACAGCACGCTCGCGAATTGATTGTGTTCCTGCTTATAACGAGCAAAGTAGTTAGGCAGTCACTTTATCAGAACACGATCGTTCGAAAGATTTTTCTTTGAACATAACTACATTTTCTTGTTGAGAAATGTCTGCAGTGTGTGATTACAAAAGACTTGCAAACAACGTAATTGTATATGTAGCGTTTAATTTATCGTACGTTAGATAAAATAATTCAAGAGTATCGTATTTGCTTTCCATTATTTTAGTGAATCCTTTCCACTTGACGACGCTTTTAAAATTTATCGCGAGCAAAGCGCACCGTCGTTGTGGGTTTATAGGACCAACGATGCTGTCATCTTGGTTATACGAGGTGTGGCAGTAAACTTTCGAGAATATTTCAATAAAAACTTTTATTTTGGTAATTAAATAGTGTTGGGTTCACTGATCATAACGTTTCTGTATCTCACTTTATAATATCTGGTTTAATACCCGCGTTATTAAAGTACATTTTAAAGGACTTTTTGACGATATTTCTTAATGGTGAATTTGTTGATCAGAGTAAAATATTTGATTACCAAAATTAAAGTGTTACTTGAGAATCTAAGAAAGCGACAAAAAATGAGATTGAAATTCTATTAGAACATTTCATAGTAGACAACAAAAAGAAATCCAAATCAACATAAAATTGCTAAAAATAATAGTTTCATATTTTTTTGGAGGATGAAAACAAAATACTGTAATCTACTTAGCGAGATTCCTCCAAACAGGAACCTAGAAGATGGTTCTAGGTATCACAAGTTGGATATTTTCCTTTAAAAGGTATCAATGTTATGCATCAAAGTGATGGAGAAAATATACATTTTCTGCATGTTTATTATTATATAATTTTTATTTATTATTTAGAAATGCAACAGGTACTCTTTCTGCAATAATTCTATCATACGTGTATATCGAAATATTAATATATCACATAATACTACCATACAAACGAATTTCCTACTTCGTTTATACAAAAACTGTTTGTGTCTAGGAAGTTATATAATTTGCATCTTGCTTCGATATATCTATGTTCCCAGTAACACCGTTTATGTCTTTGCATGCACTGTACGATCTTTGGTATTCGTACATTTTTTATTGCAAATGCAACGGCATTAACGAAATGTTTTATTCATAACTTCGTTCGTACCTTTGTCTTACAATCATCTAAGCTAACAGCCAGCAAGGTATGCAAAATTTATTCCCTTACATCAGAGAATTTTTTGATTGCGAAGTCTCAAAGGAATCACATATAGTTTGTAAAGCCATCGAAATTACTAAAGCAATTTGAACGAGCAAAGAAGCGGATCAAAATGCACAAGTACTTATATATACGAGCGTAAAAGTCACAAAGAACCATTTAATGAAAAATAGAGCTGCACACTGTGTTTAGATAGCTTGATAAAAAGTAGGTTTGATTCGGTTAATTTATTCATTACTTAATCTCTTGCATCGTTTCGTCCAGGGCGATCTTTATGCATTCTTTTTCGTTTCAAAGTAAGAATACATTAATTATTGTAACATCAATTATTTTGGCCCACTTAGATTAAGCAATACCATCGTCTTCTTTTAGTAAATTTTCCCTTCTTCTTGTTTAACATTAATACCCTGCTCGTAAGTGTACACGTATCTATAGCAATTTCGTATTTCGTGGATTGGAATTATTAGTCACTTAGGCATCCATGTATGCACGAACTTACATTCCTTACGATTAAATTCTCGTGGGGTTCAACGGGTAGACTCATGCGCGGAAATATGTGCTTGTCATTCGGCAAATAATCAGACAAATAGTTTCCAAACATGCGAATACCCGTTATAAAGTAAATACCGAATATACGAACTCAACAAATCAATTCAATTAAACTGAAGATTAGCAGATGTATACCTTGTATAACGCAGTTTAATAAGATACCTTTATCGTTCTCGTTCATTCAAGGTACGATAAAATTTCTATTTATTAATTTCGTAAATGAGTTTTCACTCGTAGGAAATTTCTTCCATATGCAAACAACCTGAAAATGCATAACATACACACAGGATGTTTCAGAAATATATACGTGTAAACAATTAACACGTTGACTGCCTTTCTAAAATCCTAAAATTTTGATTTTAGAGAATCGTAAACTACATAACTTTCATGACTTCACTAAAATTTATAAAGCCTATTCAAATTTATTTTCTTTAGCATTTCGATTTGAGAATTAATTGTTTTAGTTCCACTGTTAATTCTGTCACTTATATATATGAATGACATGGCAGTCAAAGTGTTAACGAGCTGAATCTATTAAAAGAAGCGAACGAAAATGTTGATTGTCGAAATAAATAGACTTTTATTCCCTGAAATTTCATCCGTTGAATGAGAGTCGTGGACGAGATCGCGGCTGCCATAATTCAGATAGGGGTATGCGGGAAATTATCTCGTAGCGTTCGTTTTCCAGCTCCAGACATTAGGATCGTGGACGAGGCGAAGCACGAGCTACGGGACCGTTACTATAAAACCGGAAGCGGTATCGAGCTTGCGTGCGTCGCGCGGCCATCTTGTCCCGACTCCAAAATACCGCATCCCGTCTGGAGGAAAAATGGCGAAGCGTTGCCGGATCACGTCAACGTTTATCACGTTAATGGGTGAGCATAGCGGGAAGACGGATCGAACTCAGTTTCGAGAGACGGATACGCTAACGCGTCCCGATTTTCCGTTCGCGTGTCAACGAATATGGCCGCGTACGTGCTTCCTCGCAACGCTTTCGAGGCAACGAACGAACCGTTTCATCTCCCACGTGCCATTTTACGAGACTTTATTACGTTTGGCAATATTCTACTTCATTTCGGTAGCTTCGTCTGTCTGCATTTAGAACCTTCGCGTTAACCCTCGAATTGTTCATAAATTTTTATGAATTTTTTTTAAACGAATGTCACGTCTCGTGGTTTATTCAACTACCTTTTAGTCACACATTTATATTTTTCATAGAGTTCCAAGTACTTGTTTTTTTGTTGTTATCTAGCTTCTGATAAACACATGTTTAGAAATCACGTTTCGTTGGGCGTGAACGATTGGAGTTCTCAGGGTGATGTAAAATCAAACAATTATTAATATCACGCCACGATGGATATATTTGCAGTCAAGAGAAACTCGTAACTTTGGAAAATCCTCGTTTACTGATGACCAACTTGTCTTGCTGTTAGTTTGGTCGGTTTCTACAGAGTTCGGTAGCATCTAAATTGGTGGATCAGAACTCGACGGTGTTTCCCTAAATAAGACGAAATTCTATCTATCCGGATCCGGTCATGACCTATCGGGCTTAACGGTAATCCAATTGCAGCTGTTACAACGAGATTGGATCAACCGTGCTCGTTCGGATTTACACTGTTTTTAATTCATATATTTGCGCGAGATGTTCCGTCGTACGTTTCGTGACATTTTTGCTCGCTGGTATCACCACTTGGTTTATTTTATTTTCCGCTTGGTCTCTTCGTTTCTCGAACACAGAGGGGATCATGAATTTTTTATGAGATTCGATGATTCCGAAATTCGATGGCGAAGGTTTCGCATTTTTCAGCGAACGCGTTGCCGTTCGCGGATAAATTCGGACGTATGATGTCAGAATTTTTTTCAGGTCGAACGAAGATATGGTGACCAAGCTGTACATCGAGCAGGCGAAAAAGACTGACAGCGGCGAATACTTGTGCTCAGTGAGCCAATTCAGTACAGCCGCGGTGCATATTCACGTCCTGAATGGTAAATTGGATTTAAGTCGCGTGCATACGCAACCACGAAAGAGCAATTAAAAGGATAAAAGAAATTTAAACTGAAACGATAGAGTGTGTGTAACATAATGATGACGTTTCATATGCCTCGATTAATTAAGTAAAGTATGGCCATACTCTTGGATATTCTGGTACAAAAGAACGTGTAAAACGTACTGTAGAAAACCTTGGTCGCAATTTTAAGGCTTCTTCGGTTTTAAATTTGTAATTTTTAAATAATTTTGATATCGTGTCTCTTCTTTTTTCTCTATAAACATTTCTATAGCTAGATATTTCGACTGCTTTAATATAATGTGACAGCGTGATAAATATTCAAAGATTACCATGGAATATTCCATACTTATAGTACGTATCTATATACATTTTATTTAATCAAACAACTTGTTTTAATCATTACTGTCTTCTCGTAATATTATATTTTCGTTTCCCTCTTGGCAGATTTCTTTCGTTCATGTTATGTTTAATTTAGACATTAAGTTAGAATTAAATTTAATTGACTTGTGGTAGAATTGCGTTACAAAATTGCAAACAGCGAAATTATTCTCGAGACAGTCATTGTTTTGTGCTTTGGTTAAGACTAGGAGGTTATTTATATAGATAAATTAATATCTTTTGTTACATTATACATTTTCATTGTAGGTGAAAAGCAAGCAGCGGTTCATCACGATCAATGGAATGCAGCGCGAACGAATCACCAAGAGCGATTGAGCGAGTTGCACGTTGCAATTGCCAGCATAGTTATTTTAAGGGGTTGGATAATCAGCTCGCCATGAAGTTTATCGAAAGACATTGAAAGCATGATTCTACACAGAGGTCCATTAATTCGTTCAGTTTGAGGGGAATACGGCAAGCCAAACGCATCCCCCTTTTCTTCGCGGCGAGATTCCGATTGTCGCTCTGATGAAACGCAAACGAGGTTATTAAAACTTTATAATAGATTATCAATCCAATGAGTAGAATTATTCATTAAAAAAATTTTTCATTCCTTCGATGGGAAAATAGACATTCAGGGACTTTTCCTTTAAATTCGTGTACTAATTAATACACTTGCAGACATATTGTTTATTTTAAAACGGTGCTGTACTTCTAGTGATTGAAATATTTAATTTCATTGATACTTTGACATCGTCTATGATTAACGCCAAATGTACCGCGACTGGTGAAATGAAACTGGTTTTAAAAATTTCGTTTAGAATTTGTAACATAGAATATTATTTTAGCGTCATTTAACTTCACAATTTTTCTTATAGTATACGTACCAAAAATATTACAATATTCACTTCTATTCTTATTTGTTTTCTGAGAAAAATATATAGTCTGACTTGACTACAGGTTTATACTTTTGGTTAGGATTTAATGGGATTATATTATTTTATTGATCGGAAGCAAATAAGCGGATTTTGTAACACATAACTTTATTTGAGAGTTGCTCAGACCGTCCACGTTTTTACCACGTTTTACACTTCTCGCATAACCTAACCTCTCTAAAACAACCGAGGAGCGCTCGGCTCCCTCCGCCGACTCTCGCTCACAATCGGCACTAGGCGGTTACATTTCAACACTTTTTTTATAAAAAAACTGGACAAAATTTGGTATCAAATTCTGGTTAGCTTCCGATGTAAATAGGAAATATATGTATAGGAAACACGAAAGGAGAGAATTTTCAGTTTCCACTGTCTTAGAACTGTCTAACAACGCGTATTAAAAATAGTTAAACTTTAGACGCGTGCAGTTCCGAAACTATTAGTGTTTTATTAATTATTAAGGCATTGTTAGAAGCGGTGAACCTTCCCCTTTAAAATGGCTTTTGGTTTTTGTCGATCGGACTTACCGTTTTCGAGATATCGCAATTTATGTAAAAGGTAATTTTTTAAATTCCGCTCTCCGCCTTAGAAAAGGCTATTAAAAATACTGAAAGTTTAGAAGCGTGCAGTTCCGAAACTATTAGTGTTTTATTAATTATTAAGGTATTGTTAGAAGCGGTGAACCTTCCCCTTTAAAATGGCTTTTGGTTTTTGTCGATCGGACTTACCGTTTTCGAGATATCGTAATTTATGTAAAAGGGTATTTTTCTCAATTTGACTATCTCTGTCTCCGTCTGACGCGTCGCGTCGTACCTCCTTGTCGCGCGTGAGTCGAGACAGTCACGTGACGCGGAAGCGTAGTATTTCCAAGAATTTACTACGCATTGTTTACTATTGTCACGCGCGCGCGAGTTCATTGATATCAATGAACGTAACCAAACGCTTCGGACCCTCGTATCTCCGGAACTAGCCACCGCATCGACTTGAAACTGAAATCGCTATATCTTCGGAACTAATAGAGCTATCGACTCGTACGACCACTCGTTTTAAAGGGCATTTCATCCTCTATCCGATGACCATATAAACAATTATTATTTATGCTATCTTCTATGTTTATTTTGAAATTTACTTTGACGCTACATACCCAAAGAAGTTTGAGCGATTCCTATTGATCGTACGACTAGTGTATGATAAACCTGGATCATAAATTGTTTATTTAATTGAAAATTAATTTAAATTTAAATACAGAATGTTCGCGTAATTACTAGCCAGTACTTTTTCTCTAGAACTGACTACGATATCGACTTGGAACAAAATTCGATTTTGAGGACGTTTTATTTTCTATCTGGTGAAAATTAAAAAATTGTTTAACATACAAAACACAACTTTTTATACATATAATGCAAGAATTACATTGCTTAACCTGTCACGTATAAATTATATGAATATCAAAATCCATTCTCACATTGCAGTGATACATGTTTAGTAAATAATAGTTTGATACACGGATTGACAATCTATTTTCAAAATAATGGCCAGCAAAATAACTTTAAAATTTATTTTGTAATACAAAAACAGCTTCATCGACAAAACGTCAAAGTTTGTTATATTCCCCTTCTTTCTGCTATCTGGTACCATCGATTTATGTTAACGAATCTATTTAAATTTATGAAATATTAATGTAGGTTTTCATCGTTTTAAGCAGAATATACATTGAGTACATATCCTTTGGCATATACATTAGGACTGGTTTAAAAATGATTTAATCTGTTTTATGAAGCAAATTAATACGATTTCAAATATTGTAGACACATTGATACGTAGTTCAAATATTTATATACATTTTTTCAAACGATAATAATTGTTCATTCTCGAGTTATAAAACGTTGTGTCAAAGGAGATGAAAAATGTATATGATGATGTGCATGATTCAAGCAGTTGTGTTTATTTCAACTAAACAGATTTTTATGCCATCAAATTCTGACCAAAGAAGTTCGATTTTTGACAGAAATATTATACTTGAATTATGCCATAAATATAGAAGTTTTTAATATGTAGAGATTAACCTTCTTCGCATAGTGAGGGAACGTCTTCACATATTGTGCCTAACAATTTGAAAAATGTTGATTCCGAGAAACATTTCTGTAATATTTTGTACAGTGTTAGAGCATATAAAGAGTTTAGTTCAAAGTTATCTATACCTTTGCCGATTCTTCATACTTTGATCATTCGTTTATCTATACATATTCCCTATACCTAAAATATATAAAAAAAATAATACGAAAGAAATCGATTTTCCCAGAATTTCTATACCAGACTACCCCTATAATTTTTCGCTGCAAGAAGGGAGGTATAGTTCTCGCTGCAAGATGGCGCTAACAGTATGTGTATAATTGCCCTGCAAAACGTAAGGGTTGCAAAATGCTTCCCTTCCTCAATTCTAATACCTCAATTATTATAATTATTATAATTATTATGAAAATTAGTCTTCCTCATTAAATGTTTTCCATAAATTAAATTTATAGTCATATTTGGTAGGAATGTATTACAACCCATTACATTTATAATTTAAATAATTCTACTAATAGTCATTTAAGTAATGCTACGAGTTTATTTATATGAAAATAAGTATTACACGAATTGAAGTACTTGTTTTGCCATCTACCAGTGGAAAACGCGAACCATTTCTCTAGAAAATTAGGCGTTCTGTGCCACTTTCTCTAGGAAATGGCGGTATCTACCTTCTCGCAGCAGAATCTTCGCTTTTAATAGGAAAATCTTGTTCCGATTCAAGCTCAAGTTAGCCTAGATTATGATTAAAATGCTGTAAGACTGTATAGAAAATAGAAACTAGAATATTTGATGATCGATTTTCCCAAAGTGGAACAATTTCTCTACAAGCTTGGATCGCTTTTCTGCTGAGGGCGCAAACTGTTTTACAAATCAGCTTCGAGAGTAGTTCCTTTCGCTGCCAGATGGCCATTATTTCTCCATTTTATTCGCAAACATATTAATCGAAGATTCAAACTACGAGTTACCGAATATGTATCATTGCATAAACAACTGTTTATCAAATTATCAAATTATAAAATAAATTCTTCCATAATGAACAATTCAAAATTTAACTGTTCTATAGAACAAACTGAGAATATATTTCTATATTCCAGTAAAATTTTGCTCGTTTCTGCGCCCAATTTACGATTAGACGAATCTTAAGAACCTTTTTGAATTACTTTTAAAATGAATTGAATTCATATAAAGGTTACTTTACACAATTTTACATAAATAACACCGTCCAACGTTTCGAACATGCGATAATCAGAAGCTTGTTACGACGAAGAAAGCAATGCTGTTGGCGTTCGTATTCCCCTCGAACGGCAAGAATTAATGAACCCGTTTGTATTGCATGGAGAAAGAAAGATCAGTTCCGTTTCAAGGGTAACACCGCCAAAAAGTAGAATAGAGACAGAGTCAAACACTGTGCAAACATAGGAAATTGACTAGCGGGTTAAATTAGTAATAATATAATTTCCTTCCTACAAATCCAGAGAGATGGGTCTATAGAAAGTAGATTATACTAACCATAGTCAGACACGCCAGCCAAATTCTTATCAACGAACGGTACTGTGCACGCATAGGAAGATGGCTAGAGACAATGTTCAATTATACTATAATCTCTAAAACCAGTGTTCCCCAATATTTTTTGGATCATGCTTCTTTTGAAAGTCCTACAAATTTTGTCTCCAACATTACGGTCAACCAAGTTCTGAGAAAATATAATATAAATCCTTCGAATACAATAGAATTCTCTGATTGTTTAAAAAATATTCACGTTGGAGAACACTGCTATGGAGGAAATTATATCTATAACTGATCAGGTAGTCTATTCTCTTCTCATAAGTGCACAGTGTGTTTATTTAAATTGCACAGATTACGAAGGCTGACGATTCGCAATTCCTTCCAGAATTGACCTCTCTTTTTGCTTGCTATACATCGTTGCTTGCGTTACTGTGTGCTCATGGGTGTCTGTCAGAAAATGTTTCGATTAACGCATCAGTATTACAATGGACGATAACTGCCGAATGAATTATTGCATACAGGAAACCATTGTATATTGTACACTGATAAAATATGTAAGGACAGAATTGTGAATATTGATCCGCGAACGACATCGCGTCGTGGACGTTTGTTTGAAACAATTCATACGACCAACACAGTGCACGTTAGCATTCTTTTTCAAAAAGATCACGAATGATAAAACTAAAATAGAAAGTGAATTCTTACGCTTCAACGGACTCGATGTGTTTATCGATAAAACAATCAGATTTCTTTGTCTTATACACAAGTCAATTACTATGTGACTCGTTGCAAGAGTCAAACTAGAAAATCTTTTCTAATATCGAACGGTTTATCGTATAATCTAAGAATTATCGCGTTCATTGAAAGCTCCATAAATAGAGTGAGTCATT